CGCTGCTTTTCTCCATTTTGTGTAACACGTACATTGACGATTTATAACATCACATACGTGATACCCATTTATTATCGTAGAACTTTTTTCATTACTAGTTCTTGTAAAGGCAAAAGGCATTACGTCAAGCTCAAAATTTACAAGTACGTATCGGGATATAACATACTCATTTAACATTGTTAGGGTTGACCCATAAAATGTTAAATACGAGATAAACGTAGGATAAACTTGTTGGCCGTCCTACTTTATCGTCCTAAGTAACCAGAGGATTCTAAACATTTAATATCTGTCGTTAGCCGATGCTTGGTAGGTACTAATTGCTCGTTAAATCTCTAATTCCCAATTGTTTACTGATGGTAATGAGGCACTACATTCCGAGCGAAATGTCTGAGGAAGAAAACGTTAGAAATTTATCGCTGAAGCTACACACTAAACTTTGTTTTTTACTTGCTACCACTGTGAGATCGCCTTAATTCCAATACGGGAATCGAGGGACAGTTGTAGGTATTTCCCATTATTAAAAACTGTTAGCTTGCGTATGTGAGTATTGAGTATTATGTAACATGTTAGTTGTTACTCGTCTATAATAGCATATTATGCATTAAGTTTTATAAACGACACTTTAGACACGAGTGGTATGTTAGGCACGAGCGCAACAAGGTGTTTAATGAGTATCTAGAGAAGTTTACAAAACACGTTACATACCAGGTAGGTAATGTAGTAAATTAGCACGTGACGTCTCCAATGTCAATCTCACTAAGATGGTGGATCCATGTAAAATGCGAAGTCCTCCAGGTACTGCTTAGGTAATAAGTAATATCCATAACGGAAAAGTAATCCAGAATAGAAAACTATGATAGAACTATGAGGGAACATAATTACTAATTACTTGCAAATATAAATCCGCTGACGTATTCAATAAAGCAGCCACAACACTTCAGAAATAGAAAGAAACACTCCAAAAAAATATGGTGGTATCCAAAATAATGCGCCCTTGTTCAGGACAATAAGTCAAGTAACCGTAATGTCGCATCGAGAAAAATTTGCACGTAACCAACGTGAAGGCAAGATCTTCTCTGAAACAGGAACGAACACCGCTTGTACGCAAGACCAAATTAAAGAAGGGATAGAACGTAGTGCAGAAAGTATAAAACGTGAACGTGAAAATAAAATAAAGAACTTTGGTAATAACAAATTTAACATAGAAATAACCTACGTCTTAACTAAACGGGTTTCAAAATTAAATACCTGGATGGCCTAAGAAACGAAGGTTAAATAAATTAAGAAAAATTTTCAAGCCAGGAAGAAAAACACGTTACACCTTGAAGCCCTATTGAACTAACTTCGAGCGCTTTCTTAAAGGTCTCTAGGGTTGTTTCTGTACATAAACATGCCGATCGGGATGTTCTTCCTAATTATCGGGCATTTGCAAAAATGCTATTTTTCGAAAATTTTTGAAAAAGCATTGAAGCCCAAATTGCGAATTATTTCGAATAAAATAGCGAGAAAAAATCAACGTTCACTGCAATATTACAACGGGGTCATACCGCCTTCATTTTTTATTTCTGATCCACAAAGTACATTAAAAATAAAAAGACCCGCGTGTCCTCAATTTTTATTTGCGAGTAAAATAAACCCAAAATAAATTATTGAAAAGCTGTGTTTTTAGTCCGAATTTGAAACGCTTCAGACTAAATACGTCACAAACCTACAACCAATCACGTAGAAGTGAGCTGGCAACTTTACCCGAGGGTCTGACGTTTGTCACATTTGACGTTTTGAGAGGGATGTTTAACTGCATCTAGCACGAAAGTGACAAGTGCCTGTGACAGATGACGCAAGTTATAAATGCCATTCTCCTGCAATATTGTGTAACGAGTGGTTTTATTTCGCGCCAAATTTCATTAAAAAATTCGAAATTTCTTGTCATGATAGTGAAGGTCACCCTGTATATTTCATTATTTGTTTCGGTTAGAAATTTTGTGTTTGGGCATTTCGGTTCGCTCAAGACTATGGTCCGATAGATTTAATTTCGCTCAGATTTAATTTCGTCGTGGGAAGAGTGCAAAGTTGATTGACGTCATCATGAGTAATGCGAGTTTTTGTCGTGCGTTTATCACCCAAGGCGCCGTCTAGACCGAGAATAGGAGCGGATATAGCACCGAGCCATCAAGAGATAAGGGGTTTTAAATTCGTCAGCAGAAAACCGTGAGATCAGTGTTTATTCAGCAGTTCCTGGAGGTTGACGACGAAGTTAGAGTGGGTTAAGTCTTCTTTATCTAAACCAATGGGAGAATTTCTAGCGGGAGCCATTTTTGTTTTATGGTAATTTGGGTGTGGTTTTCTCATTTCAATTCTGAAGAAGGGGATCGTTTTTGAAAAGACTCGCAGTCAGTACGTCAAGGGGTCAACACGTATCTTGAGCGATCGTTTTGAAAAGACTCGCGGTCAGTACGTCAAGCGGTCAACACGTACCTTGAGCGATCGCTTTGGTACACTTAGCGGTTTGAGCCACCGGTTTATTTCGGTTGCTCGCAGTTGCGTGCTTTTTGCACCCGTTTCGAAGTGTTATTTTCTTTTCGCGTTGAATTTTTTGGCGACGAAGACCCAGGTTCCGATCAGGTGGTATTTAGGCGAACCCTTGAGCTTCACCCCAGTTTACTTTGGATGCAGTGAATCGCGTTAGGATACGTTGTGATTTCTCGAGGATATATAATTCAAAGTGCTGCCCTAGTCCTCAAGGCGCCGATATTCGGGATCCGCCCCAGGTGGAATTTCCTATTAGTGCCGTACGGTCATTTGTCGAAGTAGCGCTGCGTTTTGGAGAGATATTTGCCCCAAGAAGAGCTGGTGAAATAATAAGTCGAACCACCCAAGAACAAATCGCGGTTTACCGTCGGATAGTGATCATAAAAATTTGTGTTCTGCCGTGCCGCTAACTCAAAAATCTGTCTCCCGCAGGCGATCAAAGTTAATAAACTCTAAGAGCCGGTGGAAGGAAATAGTAGGGGTCACTGTTTAAATTAAATACACCGCTGTGTAGAAACTTTGGCAACTAGCCGTCACCCACTCGCCACGCGAAGGATTTCCTGGACTAAGCTTCAGTTCAAACACTAAACTTTGCTTTCGTTCCGAGGAAGGATAGGCACCGTGGATTTTGTTTCCGTGTATTAATTTCAAGCCACCCCCTAGGAAGTCACAGAGACCTAAGTGTCAGGTTTCATCACATCCACCCTGTACCAGAGGAAAGAGCAGTTCACAAGATCGGCTGTACAAATGTTGTAAAGGTTAGTCTAATTAAATTTGTAACGTTCTGTAAAGTCCCACTTTTTGGTAATTAAGCTATAGTAAAAAAAATTTTGATTTGATTGTTTATTAAAGTCCAATGAACGATTACCAAAGAGTAGGATAAATTTTTGTGTTTATTAAAATAAGTCCCAGCCCACGCTGGAGTAAAAAACGATTACCTGTTGTTGCAATTTTCAAACTGTAGAGGATGGCCACCCCTTGAGTAAATTAGTCTCACCTGGTAGGATTTTTATTTAGTTTAGTTGTCATTGTTAAGCTAGTGTTTTTACAAGGAGGAGAGAAGAACTGCTAGATCCCTGTAATTTGTTTGTATCTCTAATATCATTTAAATATATTATCTATTTGGTTTCAATGTGCCTATGTCTTTAACGAAGAATGAGGGGAAGGAAAGAGAGGAGTAGGAGTTGCGTCAGGAGACTGGTAGGCGGCAGGTTAAGGTTTGTTACGCAGTTTCAAAAGAGTTAAAAGCCCACCGATTTGAGTTAGCCGGAGCATTTATTTTTATCGATTTAGCAGCCTGAGAAGAAGACGGTTTGCCTTGCCGGGCGGAACCGATGGTAATTTTCAAGTCCAGAAGGAACCCCCGTAGCAATTGCCAAGTCGTTATGTCATCTGAATGGTTCTAGGAGCTGATTGGTCGGGCTTATTACGTCACAGAGCCCGCCGCAATCATATCGTTTTGAATAAACCTTTAAAACCGCACATGTTCATTATTTTTTTGCTAATCAGCCTCTATTTTTAAATAAACTTTTACTGTCCAAAAAAATGTTTTATGGTTTCAGGTACACGCTTATTAAATTAGAACTGCGGAATTTAACTACACTGTAAACCCCCATTAACACACATAATTTTGACGCAAATGACTTTTGCGTTGCAATAATAAAAAATCTGATTATCGACTAATTAATGCTGCTGTACCACAAGGGTCGGTTCGCGGTCCTATACTTTTTCTAACTTACATTATTGATAGGCCTTTTTTAACTCAAACTGATAATATTATCCTTTATGCAGATGACACTTTATTGGGTAGGAGATGATCAAATTACTGAGAATATAACAGATTTGTTAATTGTTAAATTAAACAATAAACGAAAAATGTATTTTCATTCCCGTACCGTCGGTATTCTACAGGCCGCACAAAGGGCGATGGTACTTAATCAACCTTCCCCTTCGTTTTCCCTTCTCTTTGGTAATCTCCAATTATTTTTTACATTAGTTTGAGGTATAAAGTACCAAAGCATTCACACATAATTTAAATTGATTCCGATGACAGGCTAATTCAAGAAAGTAAACACCCATTACAAGGGTTGAGCCGAAACGTTCCTGAAAAGTAAATGATCAAACCACATTCACAAATGTTACATTTAAAAAAATGCAACTTTGATATAAATCACCCTGTATAAGAATTGCAATTTTGTTGAAAATGTTTGTAGGTTGTAGCTTTAAGAGTTCTTCAACATGTCCCGCCAATGAATTTTAAATATGTGCGTTAATAAACCTACAATTGTTCACCCACACTGCACTAATAGCCCACCATGTATGTAGCTATTAACTGGACGTTCTGTTAGCTAGTTGCGGTTTGGTTTTAAAAACGATTGACGGATTCCAAAATGTTTCTTCGCATCAATTTTATCGCAGGCAAATAAACGACCCCGGTCCCCGGTTCGAGGCGGTCAAAAAGTTTTTTTTGCACTCGCGAGGGTAAAAATCCGTTTCTATGATCACAAAACAGGGACAGAAATTGCATTTCAGTCCCTTGAGAAATAATGATAATGAAAACTCCCTGATATTTATATAGGTTATATTAACTCAAACTTAAAAAGGTACATTGTTTATATTTAAATTAAACGTTATATTTTCACATTTTGTAAAATTTACCGCTGGAATTTTATTAATCAATAGATTCGAATCAGAACTGGCTCCCGATGTTATATTGACATTTGAGGTAGTGCTACCTTGAATAATCTGATTTGCAATCTTCGTTTTGTTGGCCACAGAGTTCTCAATGTAGCTTTCCGCGACTGTGGTGGACTTCCACCCACCATGCCGTTTTATAGTGGTGATGTCAGCTCCAGCATCCGCCAATAGAGTGGTGGAGGAACGCCTCATGCAGTGCCCCGTATAGAGTTCTGGGTTTGGTAATTTTAAGTAATTGGCGATCATATTTGGCACCTTGCCAAGCGTGTTTTTCCCAACCGGCTGAGTACATTTTCCGTTCTTGTAGAAAACAAAAAATCGTCCATGGTTAGTTCCAGGTCGAAGGGACGTGTATTTGCGAATTATCTGAAGAAAATCCACTTTACCGCCTTCATTACTCGCTATAACGAACGTTCTGGATGTTTTGTTTTTTGTATGTGGCAGGGTAATTATGAAAGAAGACCCCACATCTTCAACGTTATCCAGTGTCATATTGACCAATTCGTCAGTGCGACATGCGCCAGATATTCCAAAAATCAACGCAACCTAAAGAGGAAATGGTTAGCAATGTTTAATACGTTAAGTAAACGCAATTTTACCTTTCGCATAAGATGGGTATCATCGTCAGCTTCAAGCAAGAATTTTTCCACCTCTTCTCTATTAAATATTTTCGATTTTTTCGGAGAATATCCATCAGAATTCCTTTTTAAAAATGATATCAATTTTGGAAATTTGTTGATGTCAACATTGTCGTAAATGAGCATACAAGACCTCACCATGGAATATTGTGCCCATACCGTTGAACATTTGTACTTTTTGGCTTTTTCGCTAAAGTAAACCAACATAACATTGTCGGTGACGGTCGCGACATCTTTTTCTATGCACCAGTCTTTAAAACCTTTATATGCTGCTTCATACAACTTTTTCGACTTATCAGGTAGTAAATTCACAACAGCAGCGTTAGCGGCGTTTGTAATTTCATAAGGTTCTTCAGAACAACCCGCAACTTCCATTTTAATTCACGCACTTTTTCAACAGCAAACATTGTTTGTTTATCTGTTGCCATGGTTTATCTGAATTCTCGACTAACATGATTAAATTTTAATTTATTGGTTGCCACGGTTATACTTAATTCTCCACTAACCTGATTAATATGTGGTTATAATCTTCAAAGAACCATCAATTCATTTAAAGAGTATAGGTAAACGTCGACGCGAATGCAAAAAATAGTATATACACCTCTGGAGCGAAATGCCATTTTCCCTTGGTGCTTTGTAGCCCTCGGGCTCCGCTTCGCTTCGCCCTCTGGCTACAAATCGCACCGCGGGAAAAATAATGCATTTCTCTCCCTTGATGTATAATGTACTATTTTCGCCCCCCAATCCCCTACAAATTCGTCTATCTGCACACGTATGAAGTTTCGGCTACCTAGGAATTTGTCACGAACGCGTTTATATGTTCTCCACGACGTATTCCAAATGTAGTAGAACTTGGCACGTAATATATTTCTCACTCAAAGTTTAACAGCTAATCTCTACAGCTACTCGAAAGATTTTATCAACTAATTACCCGTGCTGGTTCCACAAAATCTTCACCAATACGCGGAATGAACATTTTCACATTCGGGGAGTATGTGCTTACCCTTTTGAAGTACAACCTTGTCTGCCGCAAACCCCCTTACAATCCGGTATTTCTCTTCGCTTATCTGGCAACACACACCTTTTATCGAAAAACGAAGCCGGTTGTTATCATCTTTTATTTCCAGACGTAAGTTCGTTCCTGTTCGCTATGAAGCAGTATATGTGTAAGTTTCCCTATATATACCAAAAATGCAAAATCAAAACTAAATTTTTGAAATAATTTAACAAGCGACCACCTGTTACATTCCTTCCTTGAAATATAATCCACGTTCTATACCTTTCTAAAACGTTTCGCAGACCATTTCTCTGGCAACGTTCCATTTTACTAATAAGCAAAGGCACGTTTGAGATCAGTTCCAACATTAATGCCGATAATGTAAGTTCGCCTCGTGGTATGTTATAAATTGTGCGTGATAACTAATAATTAACTCATAACTGATATAAATTAATCCATTTGAAGACTGTTATAAACTCATTGTTAATTAATTGTAAACAAATAAATCACCCAATTAAATTTACGTTACAATACATTTATAAAACTTGAAATTTTAACAATTCCATAATATGTGTCTATATAATACATTGCATATTATACGTTGCAACTAACAACTAACATATCGACTTACCGATTGCGTAAGTTACCTTATGAATACGCGACAATACAAATAATAGCCGTTCCAATGAAATACAACCAAAGACAAAAAAAATGCAGTAAATTTCACAATAGAGTCTCTCAGAGATCGTTCATTATCGGAGTAGCAATTAAAGGAAGCCGTTAGTAATTACTTAAAAGTAAAAGCTTTTTATGGAGTAAATGAGTTTAGTTGTCTCATTTTAATAAGTGATCTTAGGTACTATAGTGTGTTATTTTATTCATTTATTTCATACTTTTTACATGAGCTTGTGATATATTTGTAAGTGTATTTTTATTGACTAATTTTATGTAGGTAGTCTATTGCTATTACATATAACAAACATTGTTATATTAAAATACGTTCATTCCAAAACTTTGTCTTACAAATCGTACCACCGCACCTAAGTATATACTAATGATTGTTTTCAACGTATTGATATCTGTCATTTTCTGTCTGCCTCGGGACTAGAACGGAATTACATGTCTGCGATTTTTTCTAATTACGTAGTCTAGGGCACCAAACCAAATAACAACACAAATATTTTGCGCTTTAACAAGATAGCTACTCATTGTTTCCGTGAAGCATGTGCTGTAAAGTATCTTTTCCTATTTAACCGTCTCCCTACTTCTATTAATATTAATTCAATCTGTATTTTAATTCAAATACAAAATTATACCGATACTGTACGTCATACCTCGACTTTTTCCGACACTCATTAACTCCACCCATAAGAATAATTTAGAAAGGATGCAAGGGGATAATTAGCGGGTTGTATTCCTAGTGGATGAAATATTTGTATTTGAATGCATAGAAAGTGTAAGGTGTAGGCGATAGTACACAACGACATCGCCAGATTAAAGCACAACCTTGTTCATCAAAGCTCACATTTTAAACATTCTTTATTAAAAATGAAAGGAAACTTCCATTTACTCCAATAACTTAAAATGAATGTTGTTGGCAACATTTCAAATAGGAAAGGTCAGATTGATAAATTTTAAAAGTTTAAATTCCATTGCATTTTATATTACTACTTTCCTTGAAAGGGTAATATAGATCGATTGCCTGATAAAACAGTTTTGAGAAGCACCATTTCAAATACTCAAAGGTGCTATACGCAGACTTTCTATATATAATAAAAAATAGATGGAGTTTTATTTGAATAACATTCGAGATTATTCTTACGCATTTATCGTTTGTGCTGCTCCACATAAATAGCGTTCTTTTAAAATATGGCACAGTATGCAATGTTTTCTATATATCTTTATTTCTCCTAGGGGAGTGTTATACTGTGCAAGTAGAGGCGTTCCAATCTGCGTTACCTAGTTAGTTATCTTATGTTAAATATCCTTTTTAGAAATGCATGCATTTTATAGCTCGCTTCTTCTTTATTCTAGCATAACAATCTAAAGAAATCTGCTGAATAAAGGATGATTACCTACCGTTAAGTTGCACGTTTGAAAAGCTCCGCTTTATTTTCACGTTTAAATCATTTTGAAGATAGAAAATACACTGCTTCGGCCGTGCTTGTCATATATTCAGCAAACTTACCCCTGAGTTCAGCATTATTTATTTCGTGGATTCTCTAGTTGAATGATTTTTACTAGATTGAGGTTGAAAGATTTTATTTGTTCAATACCCAAACCGTGCTTTCTGTTGCTGCTTGTATAATTTCGCCACGAAACCGTAAAAGACACACACGTAACCCTGGATTTTCAGACATGATATCAAATTTTCACGGATTAAGGTAGGTTTTGATAAAATAACGTAATTTGTAAAGGAAAAAAATAACGCAAATGTCATAAATGATACACAGTTCAGCACCTGTTATGTGAAACAGACTTAAAAATAAGGCACACACAGTTTTCTCGTATAGCCTATACAGGGTGTCAATTTTAAAACTTACAGTCGGCCATATTTTCCAAAATAAAGAAGATATTGAAAATCGCGCAAAACTGTTTCGGGGGTATCGAGGGGGAACCAGAATGACGTTATGAGTGACCACCCCCACTCCCCTCAAGCCCCTAGCCCTCCCCCTCTTCAAAAATCCTAAATGGCAACCCCATACTTGGGACACATCGTTGGAAAGCTACTGAAAAATGCTTTCCAGTTGTAGCAATAAAGTCAATATTCATTAAGACAATTTAACAAAAATTTAATAATTATGTATATATTACGTATATATATTATTATTATTATATATTTCTGTCACATATTCCCGTAACTCGAGGCTGTTATTAAAATATGATTAATAATATCTTGAGCAGGCCAATTACATTTTAAATATTATCTCGCGAAATTCTCGCGAGAAGCGTACTGATAAAATTCCCACGCAAACGGCCTATTCAATTTTTTACGTGACAAATTCCACCTGTCGCATCTCTAGCATTGTCATCTTTTCATCGTTGTAAAAAGTTAAATTGTAACGCGTTTCTATAGAATCGGTTTTAAATCCAACATTAATTTTATATTCCAAGGAGCACGACAAAAATGTAAAGCCAAAAGTTTCAAGGATACTTTACAAACATATTTCCTTGTTTAGGAATTTAAATTCATTTATGTCGACATGTTTTTAAATGTCTCTCGTTGCGCCGAGTTGAAAGAAAATAAATAACAGAGAAAGTAAAAAACGAGATTACAACCGTAAAAGCTCAAATCGTCTGACAGAACTGAATCTCTCTTGTAAACAATTGGTCTCGTGGGAAACAACCGGATATAATTTGTGAAGAATCAATTCTGATTCAAGTTCAAGTGCCTGTCCCGATGCGCCGCTTTACTAATAAATTATTAATATACACAATTGTTTCATAAGTCTACCTTTTCGGTACAAAAGATTGATGTACTGTACCTAACTCTAACCTTTAAATCAACCTTATGCCAACTTTAGTATTTGTTTAGCTCGTGACAAACACTTTGTTTGGTTTATGTACTTTACTTGAATACTCTTGGAAAAATAGTAGTTTCATTTTAAAAGATACCAGTACAAAACAGTAGTTGAATTGTAAAGCGAGTGGAGACTTGCAATATGTTTTCCTCAAAAGTTATGAAAACGATAGAACCTACAGATGAGCGTTGAGTCACTCGTTCCTTTTCAGTTAACAGAGATATTGTAATGCACCAAAAACGTTATTGTGTATTTTATATGTATTTATGGATATGCAGGATGTTAATTATTTACAATAATTTTATTTTATTTGATTTACATATCAAACCTTTCCTATGCATGCGCATTGCTTAATCAATTTTTATCACAAGCAGAGTTTTTACACACGCGTTTTGGGGAATTTTAGTATGTATTACGGATGAGAAAGTAACGATTTTAATTTCAATTTTCATATGCCACTCTATTGGCACGTTAGAGAGTGTGGTTCAGTTTGTGTACCTAATCTTTAAATCATCTCCTTCATTCAACAGAAAATTAAAAACGTGTTTTGGTGCAGCAACAGGCGAGGTACCTATTTTCCCAATTTGTACCATTACCCTCCCTGAGTATATCCTATCAATCAGCCTCAACTACAAAACAGCATCAAAACAGGTGAGTACTTCCCATTTTAATTACAGTCCACATAAAGAAAAGAATTAACACAGGAAATGCGTCAACCTTGCCAACAATGTGCTTAATATTATTTTACTACCTTTGCAGATTACTTCCTGCTAGTAAATACACATTTCCTTGTAATTCTGTCTCGACACATCCAAATTTAAGCCTCACTCCAGACGCCATTGGCAACAATTCTAAAAACCATTGGTTGGTCAAGAGAATCGAATACTTTTAGAAATTTCTATCCTTGCCCATCACAGACGACATGGATTTTGCTGTTTCGTTATTACAGTCAGCAAGATAATCCTGACACTGTCTACTAAATTTAGGAAGTTACAATTTGATGTACCTAGTTAAAAAAGGGTTACGCTAGTATACGCAAAATTTGATTGGTTTATGTTCGAGTTCATTTATTATACTTTATGAAAGAAATCTTTTTACTCTTTTGAGCTACAGAGGCTTAAGCGCGGTTTAGACGCTACGATCTTGGTTTCGATAAATCGTAACTATCTGACTGTCCAATTTATCGTTCAATAAATCG